CACCCACTTACTCACCAACTCACCCACTCACGCACTCACCCACTCACTCACCCACTCACCCACTCACCCACTTACTCACTCACCCACTCACTCACCCACTCACTCACCCACTTACTCACTCACCCACTCACTCACCCACTCACTCACCCACTCACTCACCCACTCACTCACGCACTCACTCACCCACTCACTCACCCACTCACTCACTCACCCACTCACTCACCCACTCACGCTCTCACCCACTCACTCACCCACTCACTCACCCACTCACTCACCCACTCACTCACCCACTCACTCACCCACTCACTCACTCACCCACTCACTCACCCACTCACGCTCTCACCCACTCACTCACCCACTCACTCACCCACTCACTCACCCACTTACTCACTCACCCACTCACTCACTCACCCACCCACTCACCCACTCACTCACTCACCCACTCACTCACCCACTCACTCACTCACCCACTCACTCGCTCACTCACTCACCCTCTCACTCACTCACTCACCCACTTACTCACCCACTCACCCACTCACTCACCCACTTACTCACTCACCCACTCACTCACTCACCCACCCACTCACTCAATCACTCACCCTCTCACCCACTCACTCGCTCACTCACTCACCCTCTCACTCACTCACCCACTCACTCACCCTCTCACCCACTTACTTACTCACCCACTCACTCACCCACTCACTCACCCACTCACCCACTCACTCACCCACTCACCCACTCACTCACCCACTCACTCACTCAGTTACATTGGAGGTACACAATAACATGACCATCACGACTACGTACTACTATTACTAATTACTACCACTCTTTACTGCTATTACTTAACTAATTACTATTACTACTACTTACGACACCTACTGACTACTCCTACTCACTACTACCACGACATCCTTACTACCGCTCACCACGTGTAAGACACCACAACAACATCCTCATTCTGGTGTGTTTGCTGACACAAACACCGCGTGACGTTTTGGGCTCGTTGAGATGCACTTCCTTCCTGAGCCAGCCACAATCAGCACTCACTGCAGACGCGACAACCACTGCCGTGCCAGGCTAGGTGCAGGAGGACGTGTCACGGGACAGACCCAGGTCGTGTCACGGGTCGACTGCTGTGCCAGGCTAGGTGCAGGAGGAGGAGGTCACGGGACAGACCCTGCAGGTGCTATGGGTTGACTGCCGTGCCAGGCTAGGTGCAGGAGGAGGTCACGGGACAGACCCAGGTCGTGTCACGGGTCGACTGCTGTGCCAGGCTAGGTGCAGGAGGAGGTCACGGGACAGACCCAGCAGGTGCCATGGGTTGACTGCTGTGCCAGGCTAGGTGCAGGAGGAGGTCAAGGGACAGGCGCAGCAGATGGCATGGGTTGACTGCTGTGCCAGGCTAGGTGCATGAGGAGGTCACGGGACAGACCCTGCAGGTGCCGTGGGTTGACTGCTGTGCCAGGCTAGGTGCAGGAGGTCACGGGACAGACCCAGCAGGTGCCGTGGGTTGACTGCTGTGCCAGGCTAGGTGCAGGTGGTGGTAGTGCTGATGATGGGTTTGGTGATGGTGGTGATGGTGGAGGTGGTGATGGTGGTGGTAGCGATGATGATGAGGTTGGTGATGGTGGGGGTGGTGGTGGTGATGATGGAGGTGGTGATGGTGGAGGTGGTGATGGTGGAGGTGATGGTGGTGATGGTGGAGGTGGTGATGGTGGAGGTGGTGATGGTGGAGGTGATGGTGGTGATGGTGGAGGTGATGGTGGAGGTGATGGTGGTGATGGTGGAGGTGGTGATGGTGGAGGTGGTGATGGTGGAGGTGGTAGCGATGGTGATGGTGGAGGTGGTGATGGTGGAGGTGATGGTGGTGGAGGTGATGGTGGTGATGGTGGAGGTGGTGATGGTGGAGGTGGTGATGGTGGAGGTGGTGATGGTAGTGACGATGGGTTTAGTGATGGTGGAGGTGGTGATAGTGATGATGATGAGGTTAGTGATGATGATGATGTGCGTCCGCTCAGCCATCTTCCAAGAGAAAAAATAAACGTACATCGCCGATTTTATTCACGAAATTAACACAATTACACAAGCCAACAGCAGTTGCAAGCCCCATCGGAGCGAATAACCCTCCACACCCCCACCACTCATTTCCCCACAGCAATTGGTTTTGCCGCTCGCTACCAAACAACAGCAGGCCGGACCGTACCACTCGCAGCAACGGGGGTTGTAGTCAGCCTGATTGCAACCACACAGACACTCACCCTCCCACCCCTGCACTGGAAGTTAACCACCGAATCACCGCGGTCTATCCACTGCTGCATGAAGATCAACGATGATTAATCTCTCAGCGTAATCACCACCACCGCGGTCTCTCCACTGCTGGATGAAGATCAACGATGATTAATCTCTCAGCGTAAACACCGAATCACCGTGGTCTATCCACTGCTGCATGAAGATCAACGATGATTAATCTCTCAGCGTAAACACCGATTCACCGTGGTCTATCCAATGTTGGATGAAGATCAACGATGATTAACCTCTCAGCGTAATCACCACCACCGCGGTCTATCCACTGCTGGATGAAGATCAACGATGATTAATCTCTCAGCGTAATCACCACCACCGCGGTCTATCCACTGCTGGATGAAGATCAACGATGATTAATCTCTCAGCGTAAACACCGATTCACCGTGGTCTCTCCACTGCTGGATGAAGATCAATGATGATTAATCTCTCAGCGTAATCACCACCACCGCGGTCTATCCACTGCTGGATGAAGATCAACGATGATTAATCTCTCAGCGTAATCACCACCACCGCGGTCTCTCCACTGCTGGATGAAGATCAACGATGATTAATCTCTCAGCGTAATCACCACCACCGTGGTCTCTCCACTGCTGGATGAAGATCAACGATGATTAATCTCTCAGCGTAAACACCGAATCACCGTGGTCTCTCCAATGCTGAATGAAGATCAACGATGATTAATCTCTCAGCGTAATCACCACCACCGTGGTCTCTCCACTGCTGGATGAAGATCAACGATGATTAATCTCTCAGCGTAAACACCGAATCACCGCGGTCTCTCCAATGCTGAATGAAGATCAACGATGATTAATCTCTCAGCGTAATCACCACCACCGCGGTCTCTCCACTGCTGGATGAAGATCAATGATGATTAATCTCTCAGCGTAAACACCACCACCGCGGTCTATCCACTGGTGGATGAAGATCAATGATGATTAATCTCAGCATAAACACCGAATCACCGTGGTCTATCCACTGCTGGATGAAGATCAACGATGATTAATCTCTCAGCGTAAACACCACCACCGCGGTCTATCCACTGCTGGATGAACACCACTGTGATGATGACGTCTCTAAACCACGTGTTCCAATCTCTCTCTCTCTGTCTGTCTCTCCATCCTCCGAAACTGTCCACGATTAACACAAACTCGTCTCAAGGGACATTGGTATACAGGCTGATCGATCGATAATAACAGTAACATCATAATTATTTGATATGTAATTCGGCACAGAGTGGTGGGGAAGGGGAGGAGGTCACAGGTCGGATACGCGACGTTCAGGTTCGATACACGACGTTGCTTGTGTGTGGGTCTCTGTGGGTCTATGTGGGTCTCTGTGGGTCTCTGTGGGTCTCTGTGGGTCTCTGTGGGTCTCTGTGGGTCTCTGTGGGTTTATGTGGATTTATGTGGATTTATGTGGGTCTCTGTGGGTCTCTGTGGGTCTCTGTGGGTTTGTGTGGGTTTGTGTGGGTTTGTGGGTCTCTGTGGGTCTCTATGGGTTTGTGGGTCTCTGTGGGTCTCTATGGGTTTGTGGGTCTCTGTGGGTCTCTGTGGGTCTCTGTGGGTCTCTGTGGGTTTATGTGGATTTATGTGGGTCTCTGTGGGTCTCTGTGGGTTTGTGTGGGTTTGTGGGTCTCTGTGGGTCTCTATGGGTTTGTGGGTCTCTGTGGGTCTCTGCGGGTCTCTGTGGGTCTCTGTGTGTCTCTGCGGGTCTCTGTGTGTCTCTGTGTGTCTCCGTGGGTCTCTGTGGGTCTCTGTGGGTCTCTGTGGGTCTCTGTGGGTCTCTGTGTGTCTCCGTGGGTCTCTGTGTGTCTCTGTGGGTCTCTGTGGGGTCTCTGTGGGGTCTCTGTGGGTCTCTGTGGGTCTCCGTGGGTCTCTGTGGGTCTCTGTGGGTCTCTGTAGATCTCCGTGGGTCTCTGTGGGTCTCTGTGGGTCTCTGTGGGTCTCCGTGGGTCTCTGTGTGTCTCTGTGGGTCTCCGTGGGTCTCTATGGGTCTCTGTGGGTCTCTGTGGGTCTCTGTGGGTCTCTGTGGATCTCCGTGGGTCTCTGTGGGTCTCTGTGGGTCTCTGTGGGTCTCTGTGGGTCTCTGTGGATCTCCGTGGGTCTCTGTAGGTCTCTGTGGGTCTCCGTGGGTCTCTGTGTGTCTCTGTGGGTCTCTGTGGGTCTCTGCGGGTCTCTGTGGGTCTCTGTGGGTCTCTGTGGGTCTCTGCGGGTCTCTGTGGGTCTCTGTGGGTCTCTGTGGGTCTCTATGGGTTTGTGGGTCTCTGTGGGTCTCTGTGGGTCTCTGTGGGTCTCTGTGGGTCTCTATGGGTTTGTGGGTCTCTGTGGGTCTCTGTGGGTCTCTGTGTGTCTGATAACCCTCTAATCAACCGAATCCAGTTTTGTCTGGGCCGAGTCCCCACTGTGATCTCATCAACTCTACCCACGGTACCACTACCACCCCCCTCCCCCCTCACGGTGTTGGGGGGGCAGTGTGGGGGGGGGGGCAGTGTGGGGGGGGGCAGTGTGGGGGGGAGGGGGGGCAGCGTCTCTCCCCCTCCCTCCGGGCGCTCCGTCTGTGACCCGGTACCCACCCATTAGCTGGCGACACCCACACATTAGCTGGTGCCTGTCTGTGACCCGGCACCCACCCATTAGCTGGTGACACCCACACATTAGCTGGTGCCTGTCTGTGACCCGGCACCCACCCATTAGCTGGCGACACCCACACATTAGCTGGTGTCCGTCTGTGACCCGGCACCCACCCATTAGCTAGCGACACCCACCCATTAGCTGGTGCCTGTCTGTGACCCGGTACCCACCCATTAGCTGGTGCCTGTCTGTGACCCGGTACCCACCCATTAGCTGGTGCCTGTCTGTGACCCGGTACCCACCCATTAGCCGGTGCCCGTCTGTGACCCGGCACCCACCCATTAGCTGGTGACACCCACACATTAGCTGGTGCCCTTCTGTGACCCGGCGCCCGTCTGTGACCCAGCGCCCTTCTGTGACCCAGCGCCCGTCTGTGACCCCCGCTAGTCCTCCTTGCTCTTGTCCGCTTCTGCGCGCAGCACGTCCATCATGACGTCACGCACGCGGTCGGCCAGCGGCCCTACGTCACTGGCGCCCAGCCCCGCCGTCGGGATGGGGGGCAGCACGGTGAGCGTGATGGTGCCTACGCGGTGACACACACACACAGACAGTCACACAGTCACACACAGTCACACACAGAGACACACACAGACAGTCACACAGTCACACAGTCACAGTCACACAGTCACACACACACAGACACAGTCACACACACACACAGTCACATAGAGACACAGTCACACACAGACACAGAGACACAGTCACACAGAGACACACAGTCACACACACACAGACACAGTCACACAGTCACACACAGTCACATAGAGACACACACACACAGTCACACACAGACACAGTCACACACAGACACAGTCACACAGTCACACACACAGTCACACACACACAGTCACACACACAGTCACACACAGTCACAGTCACACACACAGTCACATAGAGACACACACACACAGTCACACACACACAGTCACACACAGACACACAGACACACACACACAGTCACACACACAGTCACACACACAGTCACACACACAGACACACAGTCACACACACAGACAGTCACACAGTCACATAGAGACACAGTCACACACAGACACAGTCACACACACAGTCACACACAGTCACACACAGAGACACACACACACAGTCACATAGAGACACAGTCACACACACAGTCACAGTCACACACACACAGTCACATAGAGACACAGTCACACACACAGTCACAGTCACACACACACAGTCACATAGAGACACAGTCACACACACAGTCACAGTCACACACACACAGTCACATAGAGACACAGTCACACACACACACACAGTCACACACACACACAGAGACACACACACAGTCACAGTCACACAGTCACACACACAGTCACAGTCACACACAGACACAGAGACACACAGTCACACACAATCACACACACACAGTCACACAGTCACAGTCACACAGTCACACAGACACAGTCACACAGTTACATAGAGACACACACACACACAGTCACATAGAGACACAGTCACACACACACAGTCACACAGTCACACACACACAGTCACACACAGTCACACAGTCACACACAGACACAGTCACATAGAGACACACACACACAGTCACACACACACACACAGTCACACAGTCACACACAGACACAGTCACATAGAGACACACACACACTGTCACACACACACAGACACACACAGTCACACACACACACAGAGACACACACAGTCACACACACACAGTCACACACACACAGTCACACACACACAGTCACACACACACAGTCACACACACACAGTCACATAGAGACACAGTCACACACACAGTCACACACACAGTCACATAGAGACACACACACAGTCACACACACACAGTCACACACACACAGTCACACAGACACAGTCACACACACACAGTCACACAGACACAGTCACACAGAGTCACACACACAGAGTCACACACACACAGTCACACACACACAGTCACACAGACTCAGTCACACAGAGTCACACACACACAGTCACACACACACAGTCACACAGACACAGTCACACAGAGTCACACACACACAGTCACACAGACACAGTCACACAGAGTCACACAGTCACACACAGACACAGTCACACACAGTCACACACACACAGTCACACACAGTCACACACAGTCACACAGTCACACAGAGACACACACAGTCACACAGTCACACACAGTCACATAGAGACACAGTCACACACACACAGTCACACACACACAGTCACCTAGAGACACAGTCACACACACACAGTCACATAGAGACACAGTCACATAGAGACACAGTCACACACACACAGTCACACACACACAGTCACATAGAGACACAGTCACACACACAGTCACACACACACAGTCACACACACAGTCACATAGAGACACAGTCACACACACACAGTCACACACACAGTCACACACACACAGTCACATAGAGACAGTCACACACACACAGTCACATAGAGACACAGTCACACACACACAGTCACACACACACAGTCACACACACACAGTCACACACACAGTCACATAGAGACACAGTCACACACACACAGTCACACACACACAGTCACATAGAGACACAGTCACACACACACAGTCACACACACACAGTTACACACACACAGTCACACACACAGTCACATAGAGACACACACAGTCACATAGAGACACAGTCACACACACAGTCACATAGAGACACAGTTACACACACACAGTCACACACACACACAGTCACACACAGTCACATAGAGACACACACACAGTCACACAGTCACACACACAGTCACATAGAGACACAGTCACACACACACAGTCACACACACACACACAGTCACACACAGTCACATAGAGACACACACAGTCACACACAGTCACACACACAGCCACACACACACAGTCACACACACACACACAGTCACACACACAGTCACACAGTCACATAGAGACACAGACACAAACACACACACAGTCACACACACAGTCACACACACACAGTCACATACACAGTCACACACACACACAGTCACAGTCACACACACACAGTCACACACACACACACAGTCACACACACACACACAGTCACACACGCACACACAGTCACACACACACACACAGTCACACACGCACAGTCACACAGTCACACACACAGACACACAGTCACACAGTCACACACAGACACAGTCACACACACACACAGTCACACACACAGTCACACACACACAGTCACACACACAGTCACACACACACACAGTCATACAGTCACACACACAGTCACACACAGACACAGTCAGTCACACACACAGTCACACACACACACAGTCATACACAGTCACACACAGTCAAAAGACAAAGTTCCCCCATATAGCCTTAACAGACTGTAGGGGCAAGTGCTGTTAGCGAGCACCTATGAAGGCCGGTAACGGTACACGAGGGGGTGGGTGGCCAGCACCACGCCCGACCGCCTTTGTCTCCCTAGTGGCAATGTTTACACACTGCACCAGGTACTCATTAACAATTGCCCCAGGGGCACTAGCAAGTGCCCCAGGCGCACTAACAATTGCCCCAGGGGCGGTAGCAATTGCCCCAGGAGCACTAGCAATTGCCCCAGGGGCACTAGCAATTGCCCCAGGCGCACTAGCAATTGCCCCAGGCGCACTAACAATTGCCCCATGGACACTAGCAATTGCCCCATGGGCAACTAGCAATTGCCTCAGACGCACTAGCAATTGCCCCATGGGTGGTAGCAAATGCCCCAGGGGCACTAGCAATTGCCCCAGGGGCACTAGCAATTGCCCCATGGGCACTAGCAATTTCCCCAGGGGCACTAGCAATTGCCCCAGGGGCACTAGCAATTGCCCCAGGGGCGATAGCAATTGCCCCAGGGGCAGTAGCAATTGCCCCAGGGGCACTAGCAATTGCCTCAGGGGCACTAGCAATTGCCCCATGGGTGGTAGCAAATGCCCCAGGGGCACTAGCAATTGCCCCAGGGGCACTAGCAATTGCCCCATGGGCACTAGCAATTTCCCGAGGGGCACTAGCAATTGCCCCAGGGGCGGTAGCAAATGCCCCATGGGTGGTAGCAAATGCCCCAGGGGCACTAGCAATTGCCCCATGGGCACTAGCAATTTCCCGAGGGGCACTAGCAATTGCCCCAGGGGCGGTAGCAATTGCCCCAGGGGCGATAGCAATTGCCCCAGGGGCAGTAGCAATTGCCCCAGGGGCGATAGCAATTTCCCCAGGGGCAGTAGCAATTACCCCAGGGGCACTAGCCATTGCCCCAGGCGCACTAACAATTGCCCCATGGGCACTAGCAATTGCCCCAGGGGCGGTAGCAATTGCCCCAGGAGCACTAGCAATTGCCCCAGAAGCACTAGCAATTGCCCCAGGGGCACTAGCAATTTCCCCAGGCGCACTAGCAATTGCCCCAGGGGCACTAGCCATTGCCCCAGGGGCACTAGCAATTGCCCCAGGCGCACTACCAATTGCCCCAGGAGCACTACCAATTGCCCCAGGGGCACTAGCAATTGCCCCAGGGGCGCTAGCAATTGCCCCAGGAGCACTAACAATTGCCCCAGGGGCACTAGCAATTGCCCCAGGAGCACTAATAATTGCCCCAGGGGCACTAGCAATTGACCCAGGGGCACTAACAATTGCCCCAGGGGCACTAGCAATTGCCCCAGGGACACTAACAATTGCCGCAGGGGCGGTAGCAATTGCCCCAGGGGCACTAGCAATTGCCCCAGGGGCACTAACAATTGCCCCAGGGGCACTAGCAATTGCCCCAGGGGCACTAACAATTGCCGCAGGGGCGGTAGCAATTGCCCCAGGGGCACTAGCAATTGCCCCAGGGGCCCCAGCGGCAATTGCCTCTATAGGCACCTCCCGTTGCTCGTGGCCCATGGGGGTGGTGGTGGGTGGTGGGGGGTGGTGGTGGGTGGTGGGGGGTGGGGCTCGTTCGACCATACTTCACCGCACCCGGTTTGAAGATCTTCTTCTCCTTGCTGTAGAAGCTGCTGTAGTTAGAGAACACGGCCGGCACGATGGGAACCTGGGGGGCCGTCCATAAATAACGTCACGCGATTTTTGACCCCCCCCTTCGTCACACAGCGTCAAATATGACGTCACAAAGCTCTGCCCCCCCCCCCAACCACAAATATAATTTAAAAAATGCTTCAAATCGCTTTAAACTATTGTCATTGTAGTAGTGCGTATTTAATGTAGCGCTGCCACTCTGATGTTGTAGGAGAAAACATTTATTAACAAGTCTATTTAATTAAGTAGAACGTGTTGTGTCTATATTTATTTATAAAGTTGTGCAATTTGATGTGACGTCACATTTTTCACCCCCCCCCCCCGAAGGTGCGTGACGTCATTTATGGACGGCCCCCTAGCCCGGCACAATCGTCACCACCGGCAGAGGGGGCAGATTTGTTGTTGTGTGGTGGGGGGGGCGTAGTTTGCGGTTGGGGGTGTGGTCTGTGTGGTTGGGGGCGTGGTCTGCGACGTTGGGGGTATGGTCTGCGACGTTGGGGGTGTGGTCTGTGTTTGGGGGCGCGGCCTCAATGTGGAGGGGGCGCAGCCTCAATGTGGAGGGGGCGTGGTCTGTGGTTGAGGGCATGGTCTAAGATTGGGGGGCGTGGTCTGCGGTTGGGGGCGTGAACTGTGGCAGGGGCGTGGTCTGTGGTTGGGGGCATTGCCTTGGTGTATTTGGGGCGTGATCTGTGGTTGAAGGCGTGGCCTCTGTGGTTGGGGGCGCCGCGCTTGAAGGGCAGGAGGTCGTTGGCGTGGTTACGGGTACCCTGCGGTTGGGGGCGTGAACTGTGGCGGGGGCGTGGTCTGTGGTTGGGGGCGTGGCCTCTGTGGTTGGGGGCGTGGTCTGGCTACCTGTCCCTGCACCGCGAGGTGGAAGGCGCCGCGCTTGAAGGGCAGGAGGTCGTTGCCGTGGTTACGGGTACCCTCCGGGAACATCCAGAGGCGGAGCTGGGACACGGAAAGACACGGGGGGGGGGAGACACGGGGGGGGAGACACGGGGGGGGGGAGACACGGGGGGGGGAGACACGGGGGGGGGAGACACGGGGGGGGGGAGACACGGGGGGGGGGGGAGACACGGGGGGGGGGAGACACGGGAGGGGGGGGGGGAGACACGGGGGGGAGATCGAACCCACGACCTCCTGTAGACCAGGCGAGGTAGTTAACATCTCCTAGCCACCGTGATGATGAGTCTATGGGTCTCTGCGTGATGAGTCTATCGGTCTCTGTGTGGTGAATCTGTGGGTCTCTGTGTGGTGAGTCTATGGGTCTCTGTGTGATGAGTCTATGGGTCTCTCTGAGTGATGAGTCTGTGCGTCATCTCTCCATCCCGTGAGTCAGCGTCGGCCCGTACGTCTTGAGGCCGCAGGGAGCGTGCGAACTTGGCGACGGCCTCCTTGGCCCTGTCGGGGTTCCTGCGGTCGATGAAGAGCGTCCCGCAAAGGTAGGAGGCGAGGCCGAAGGGTCCCGTGTACAGCATGATCTCGCGCTTGGCCACCAGCACGCCACGCTCCGGCAGGAACTCCATCATTCCTGGGGGACGCGGCGCCGGCGCCGGTGCCGGTGCCGGCGGCGGCGGGGGTGGGGGGTGAGGTCAGGCGGAGTGGCGCCGGCGCCGGTGCCGGCGCCGGTGCCGGCGTCGGCGGCGGCGGCGGCGGGGGGGGGTGGGGTCAGGCGGAGTGGTGGAGCGGCGGCGGCAGCGCCGATTCTTCGGCGGCGGCAGCGGCATCAGCAGCGGCGCTCACACACACGCACACGCACGTGTGTGTGTGTGTGCGTCACACACACACACAGGCACACGCACGCACATACACACACACACACGCACACACGCACACACACGCACACACACGTCACACCCACACCCACGCGTGCGTCACACCCACGTCACACCCACGTCACACCCACGTCACACCCACGTCACACCCACGTCACACCCACGTCACACCCACACGCGCGAGAGCACGCGTCACACACCGAGGAAGTCGAGCGAGCTCTGGTGGTTGGAGACGATGACGCAGGGTCCCGAGCCGCTCATCCGCTCCCCGCCCAGCGACGTGTACGTGATGCCGATCAGGCGCTTGGTGTGACGCCCCAGCCGTGACGCTATCCTGCGGGGGCAAGGGGGGAGGGGGGGCAAGGGGGGGGGCAAGGGGGGGGCAAGGGGGGGGGCAAGGGGGGGGGCAAGGGGGTGTAGCCGGTTACTTCGGTGAAAAGGAGCTTTGTGGCTCATCAGATTCTCGCCGAACGAATTAATGTTCCGATTCTCCCACACACACACACATCGCCACGGTGCCAGGCTAGGTGCAGGTGAAGCGCCGAAGGCTGTCACTGCATCCAGGAGCCATGGGTTGGCTGCTGTGCCAGGCTAGGTGCAGGAGGTGACGGGGCAGACCCAGGTGCTATGGGTTGACTGGCTGTGCCAGGCTAGGTGCAGGAGGTCACGGGACAGACCCAGGTGCCACTCACAGAGATTGTAGGGGCAAGTGCTGTTAGCGAGCACCTATTAAGGCCGGCACGGCACACGAGGGGGTGGGTGGCCAGCACCACGCCCGGCCGCCTTTGTCTCCCTAGTGGCAATATTTACACACCGCACCAGGTACTCATTTGAGGCTGAGTCGACCTCGGAGAGGCCCAGGACCGGTTCAGATAATCGTCACTGGTGGTGTTGGTGGTGATCGCCGGGCTCGTAGAGCAGCGAGCTAACCACTACACCACCGCTCCCCCACACACACACAGTGACACACTCACACACAGTGACACACACACAGTGACACACACACAGACAGACATACACAGACACACACACAGATAGATACACATGCATACACACAGATAGATACACATGCATATCGACACACACAGAGAGACACACACACAGATAGACACACACACACAGACAGACACACACACACAGATACACAACAACCGCCATTCGCCACTAAGTGGTGGTGACGTCACCATGACGCTTGTGCCAGGCCATGTGCACCTTGAAGCCACGTGAAGTGTCGAACGCCCGAAGGCAGGAGGTCACGGGGCAGACCCAGGTGCCACGGGTCGACTGACTGAGATGACTGGCTGGTGCACCACCGGTGCCCCCTACTGTGCCAACCTGCCGTGCTTTAGCCACCCGGCGCTCCGCTCGTTGTTGTGAGCATCGCTCCTCCGCCCTCCGTTGTTGTTGGAGGGCGACTGCCTCCAACTGCCCAGTAGCAGCGTCCTTCACGAGTCTCCTCCACAGAGGCCGATCTTGACACCGCTGGTACCAGTCATTGGCAAGTCCACTCAGCTCCACGTCCTCCTGTACCACATCACTCCATTTCTTCTCTAGCCCGTGCCGCGCCCGTTTAGCCCCCTCGATCCGGCCGAACAAAAGCTGTTTCGGCATGCGGTGGCTGGGCATTCGGGCTACATGACCCAGCCAACGCAGCCTTGCCTGCCAGAGGAGCTCACCGATGGGACCGTGCCCAGATCTTTCAAGGATTTGTGAGCTCCTCACACAATCCAGCCTGGTTAAACCCAGGATGGATCGTAGGCAGGCCAGCCTAAATGTTTCCAACCGGCTAAGATGTTCCATTAAGGGGTCCACGTTTCGCAAGCATAGTGAAAGGAGAGAATGACCGTGGCCGAGAAGACCTGAAGCTTAGTGCGGAGCGACAGACCAGGTAGCTTCCACACAGCGTTACGCAATCGATGAAAAGATATTGCCGCTCGACTGATTCGGAGTGAGACCTCTGCTGTTAAAATGGAGCCGGTCATAAGCACACTGCCCAGGTATGGGAAACTCTCCACTCTCTCCACAACTGCCCCATCACTGATTGGGAGTTGTGGGGGTGGAGTGTCCGATGGTACAAAATACCCAGGCAGGTGCTTAGTTTTGGTGGGGCTGATTGTAAGGCCCCATCTCTTAGTGGCATGCTCCAGTCTCAGCAGCAGCGTCTCCAACTCCTCCTCTGAATGAGCAGCTATTACCAAATCATCGGCATACATAACGTGGTTGAGCAATAGGGAGCCAACCCTTGACCGCACCCGGGCATCGATCAGCCTCCCATTATATCTGTACCAAATGGAGATTCCCCCGGTACAGCTATTGAAGGCTTCACGAACTACTTGGTCAAAATAGATGTTAAATAATGTGGGAGGCAGAGGACATCCCTGTCGCACCCCAAGGTGTACAGGGAATGGCTCTGACTCCCGGCCACGTAGTTTTACCCGGGCCCGCTCACCATCATGAAGGTCCTTAATGATCGTGAGCACAGGGTCAGGGACTCCAAAAGCACGAAGAACAACCCAGAGCCCAGGCCTACTGATGGTATCATAGGCCTTGACCAGGTCAATAAAGCAGAGATGTAGGTCTTGTTGGAATTCCCTACACCTCTGCTGTAGCAGACGGACAGAAATATGGCATCTGTGCAGGACCGCCCTTTCCTGAAACCGCATTGGGGCTCCGCAAGCCTCTCCTCAGCGTGCTTGGCGAGGCGATGTTGAATAATCCTTGCCAGGACCTTTCCCGGCACACTGAGGAGTGAGATGCCCCTGTAGTTGTTACAGTCTGTGCGGTACCCTTTCTTAAAGAGGGGGACCACCAGGGAATCCTTCCAATCCTGCGGAACCCGTCCAGTGGTCCAGACTGTTGTTATGATGTCATATAGGGCAGCCTGTGCACAAAAGCCACACTCGCTCAGCATTTCGCTTGGGAGATTATCTCTGCCCGCTGCCTTTCCTGGTCTCAGACTCCGGATTGCCTTCAGTACTTCCTCAACAGATGGTACTTCAGCCAGCCACTCACAGGGGGTGACTTCTTCCAATTTTTGAGGCACCGCAGTCTTAGCAGGGTCATCCTCACTTTGTGCCACAATGTTTTCCTGGCTGAGGGATTTTCCCTCCCCTAGGACCTCACAGAAATGCTCAGCAAATCTGCAAACCTGTTCCTGGGGGTCGGAGATTGGATCACCGTTTTTTTCCCTAATGATGGTAATAGGTGTGGCGCTGCAGGTTGCTTTTTTGATGGAGTTAAATAGAGATTTGTGATCGTGGGCTACTGAGGCAGACTCCATCTCCTCAGCAACCCGCGACCACCACCCATCCTTGCAGCGCCTCACGGCTCTCAGAACCTCCGAGCGAAGGCTGCGGTAAGCCTCCTCATTCTCTGACGTGGGATCCTGTAACCGATGACAGTGGGCCTGTCGCTTTTTCTCAACCATCCTGAACACATCCTTTGTCAGCCAGGGTCTCTGGGGAGGTCCTGACCGCGTACCCAAAGCAGCCATTGCAGCTGCATGACAGTCCTAAACCTCGCCTATTTACCCTCGACATCAGGAGGAGTGGGGGACGATGCCAACCCCAGCCGCAAGCGATGATGAAATTCTCGCTTGCAACTTTCATCAGCTAACTGAGACCAGGCCACTTTAGGTTGGAATGGGGTCCTGGGTGGACACCCACCACCGGAGTGGCAAAATGGCAGGTGCATCTTACAGATGACTAGTCGATGGTCAGAGGGCAGATCAGCTCCACGGTAGGTCCTGGTGTCAAGGACATGGGCTCGCATCCGCTGGTCCGTCACTATGTAGTCCAGCAGATGTTCTTGCTTGGACCCGGCATGCATTCATGATGTTGTGTGGATGCGCCGATGCCGGAACAGCGTGTTGGTAATTACAAGACAATGGGCTGCACAAAAATCTAGCAGCCTCCTACCGTTGTTATTGAGCTGATCTGGCCCATGCCCTCCAATCACTCCAGACCAGGTGCCAGCATCATGACCAACTCGGGCATTTAAGTCACCCAACAAGATGACTATCCCGAGGGGCCACTTTAGCCAGCACCTGTGACAGGAGGTCATAGAAGGCATCTGACTCATCGGCTTTGCCTGCATCCCTCCACGGATGTTCGTCTTCGGTGGGGGCATAAGTAACCATGACCACCACACCTCGCCTCCGGTTGATGGGAAGGCGAGCCCAAAGTAGCCTGGGGCTTACAGCTTCCGGCACCTCACCGCCACGCTCCCACGCACCCTTCATTCTTTTGTTCAAAAGAAGAGCCACACCCTGTTGTTTGGCAGCCTGCTGCCCCGAGTAGAGGACTGTCCACCCCTCATGGTGGCAGGAGCCAGAGCCGGTCCACCGGACCTCCTGAATGCCACATAGATCCAGGCGGTACCGGTCCAGCTCCCGACAGAGCAGTGGCAGCCTCTCCTCCGCAGTGAGCGTTCGAACATTCCATGTGTCCATCCTTAGTGGCTTTTCGTTGTTTCTGGAGGAGCCCCAAGGGTAGAGATTCAATCTCCTGGCTCCGCCAATTGGGGTTTGGCCAGGAGACGTCATAGACGCCTGTCCCGCCGGGGCCTCCGGCACAAGCTTATTAGTTACATATTTCAGTTTAACTCGTGGTTTAGTGGTAATTAATTGAAAGTGGAGGGGTTACCAGCCCCTCGCACCCGTCCAGAGCCCCCGTTTAGCCACTGTGGTGGACACATATGCCATGAGGGGAGGAGCCAATCGGAATTGGCCCTCTCCCCACACAGCACTGTCCACGACAGAGTTGCCCGTCCGGCACCGCGAGGAGGTAGGGGGTTGTTTTGCCCAACAGACACACACACAGACACACACACACACAGACACACACACAAATGTAATGTCACCTTGAGCGGGAATTAATTGCAGGTCAGCCTAAACACTGCAGCCGCAACATCGCTAGCCCTCCGAGTACACAATGCTGTGACGACCACTATTACTCATGCTGCTGCTGCTGCTGCTGCCACCACACGCGTGTGCCACGCTGTACATGGCACACGCGTGCCACGCTATGTATATGTGTGTGTGTACCACGCTATGCATGTGTGTGTGTGTGTACCACGCTATGTATATGTGTGTGTACCACGCTATGTATATGTGTGTGTACCACGCTATGTATATATGTGTGTGTACCACGCTATGTATATGTGTGTGTACCACGCTATGTATATATGTGTGTGTACCACGCTATGTATATGTGTGTGTGTGCCACGCTATGTATATATGTGTGTACCACGCTATGTATATGTGTGTGTGTACCACGCTATGTATATGTGATATGTGTGTGTGTACCACGCTATGTATGTGTGTGTACCACGCTA